TTCTTAAGTTGCTCTGGGGATTATAATATGCATGATTAATGTCAGGTCTACAGTGTACCTAGAATTAATATTGGCCACTTCGGGTAAAAGTTAAAATACATTAAAAGGGCAGAATTCCATTGAATTCCTTTGTGCTATCACAGTTATCTGTTTCAGTCCCACCGGTGCTATAAACTCCCAAATCCAAATGCAAAGTCATAGTTTTTGTATTAAGCAAAACAGATAATACCCCCATTTTCTATCACCCAGGTGCGGCAGGAACTCTGGAGCAGGTTGGTAAGGCCTGAGTCTGCTCCTTGAGCAGAAGTTCTTGTGCCTTTGATTGAAAGCACCGAGGCTAGTAAAGCTGATGATGAGACAGTGGCATGAGGAGTAAGGCCTGGTGGGTGGAGTAGGAATGGGGAACAGGGGGCCTTCTGTGGCGCAAGGGGTTAAGTCTCAGCACTATGAAGCTATCCGCAGCCAGTGCAGCACTGCACAAGTTCAATCTGCAGCCAGGGAGCTGACCCACGTGGCACAGCAGACCTCTCCAGTCTCACCTGCTGTTCCCCCCAGCATTATTTCAGTAAATCCCCCTGTTCTACTCCCCATTCTGTCTCTGTGGAATCCTCTCACCCCTCCCCCCACACACACCTGTGGCCTGTACCCCAGCTCTTATATGCATGAATAAATAAATCACTTTTTTTAAAAAGGATGGGGGGCAAGTTTTTCAAGGGACGGGGAAGGGGACATAGTGACCCTACATCAAGAGCCATTTGCGTCCCCAAAGTATTTGATGTTATCACAGGCAGAGTCATCCTGAGATCACCATGGAGACAGTAATGTAATCGAGTCAACAGCGGACTTGGCTTCCCTGGGCTGCCTCCTGACACGGGCTCTGCTCCAAAGGTGGTCAAGGAACACTCTGCAGTGATGTGTAGATAGCAGATAGGTCACAGTTGCCCATGAGTGGCCAGCTAGTAGCCAGCTCATGGGAACCCACGTCTCCTCTCTTTCCAATGTTGGATCACGTTCTCGCTGCTTGACCCCAAACCAATATAGTCTTTCTTCAGTATCAATGAATATGGTCAGGTTTGAGCATTGCCCAGACACTCCTGGCCCCTTGCTGGTCTAAAACAGAGTCGCCGGGGCTCCCTGGTGGCTCAGGAGTTAAAGACAGCACTATCAAGCTATTGCCAGCCACTGCGGCACAAGATGGATCTCTGGCCAGCCAGGGAGGTGACCCCACATGGCTCAGCAGCCCTCTCCTGTCCCCCTGCTGCTCCCCTCTGCAGTGTATGTCACCCGATCTGCCTGTTCTGCTCCCTACTCTCTCTGGTGAATCCTCTCACCCCCTACAACTCTGGCCTACATCCCAGTTAGTTCTTGTATGCATAAATAAATAAATCTTTAAAATACATAAAATAAAATGGGGGGTGTTAATGTCTGTCTCTGAGAAAGAAACTTATATCGGGCAGTGGGTTCATACACTGGAGAGACGTTTATTGTGCACGTGCCACGCACCACGCATGCTTCAGGCAGGCACTGGGTACTGCTAGCCTCTAAGGGATGAAAGCTCAGAGTCGCCCCCCACTGGTGGAACAAACACCGCGCAGAGGCTCTGCCCTGACTCTGATGGCAGAAAGTACTGTGTTGAAATTAACCATAAAAATCCTCGTAAATGCTATTGTGGGCCAGCTTCTTGGCAGGCACGGTAATGGCCTCTGGTGACTTGGGGCTCAGGACACGGCAGGTTGCTTCCCTCACGGGCTCTAGGGATCTGAGGGGCCACAGCCACAACCACACTCTGGAGCTGGTCACAGTCTGACACATCCTCCCAGGAGGGGGCCACGTGCAGCCCGAAACAGACAGAAGGGGGGACCATGTTGTCCAGGCTCAGAGACCACAGACAGGCCCAGGGCCAGCAGTGGTGTCTGGTTCAAAACCCCTACGAAGGCCGTGCGGGGACCTTAGGCAGGGCCCTCCCCTGCAGAGCCTCATCCACTATGGCGACCTCTAAGCACCACTCCAATGACCTCATGATCCTGAAATTGAGGAAGGGAGGAAGCGTTTCCTTCGCTTGTGATCTGCCCTCACCTTGGGCCTTGGCAATGGCCTGAAGGACCTGCATGACACAGCATCTTGAGGGGGCATTGGAGGGACTGGAGGACCCTCCAGATGTGAACGATTGAATTTCTCAGCTGTTTTATATTATGCCCCCTCCCAGGGTGCAAAATGAAATCAAACCTGAGTTTAATCTAGTCCTTAAATTTAATTAATTTCTTCCTAATACAAAAACTTAAATACTGAGGAATATGGTTTTGTTGGGCAGATTTAGGGTAAGGTAAAAAATCAGGCTTTTCTGCCCTCCTGCCATCAGGATGGATGAGGGAACCCTGTGATCCTGAATGCATGCCTGATGGCGGGCACCTGGAGTGGGTACACCTGGGCTAAGACTGTGCTTTTAAGGGTGGTGTCATGGGGACGCCAGGAGAAGCTGAAGCAGCAGAAGCTGAATGAGAAGCCACGATCACCAGAGAGCCCAGATAGAGTGAGGATTTGCTGGGGCTGGGAGGCCTGCCAGCCTCCCGCCCCCCGGCACCCCTGCCTGCCATGTGCCTGGTGAAGCTCAATAAAAGACCTGCAGAAAACCACTGAGGACTCTGACTCCTCCTTTACCCGGTCTGCTGGATCAGGAAAGCCTGCACCGTGTCCAGTTCTGCCCTTTACAGCAGAGAAAAGATCTTGGCACTTCCTCTCTGCAGGTGCTGCCCTGCCCGGACGCCCTTGCTGCCCTTCAACTGTGCACCCTCTAGGCTCTGCCCAGATGTCCCAGGAAAGGTGTTATCAGGGTTTGTCATATGCACCTGCCACGCCATCACATACAGAGCTCCTTGGAGAGGAAATCTGGGAGTTTAGCAGGGGGTTAAGCCAGCACTCACCGGATTTTATTAGGTGAACGAAGATAATTGTTTCAATTTTTTTTTAAGATTTATTTTATTCAAGCACTGGGTACAGTCAGAAGCGCGGGAGGGTGAGAGAATTCAGCAGAGACAGGGCGGGGAACGAAGGGGTCTGCGCGCCATGTGGGCCCCTCGCCCGGGGCCGGGAATCGAACCGGTGCTGCAGAGGCTGCAGGTAGCTTCGCAGCCCAGCGCGCAACCGCTGCGCCACCAGGGGAGGCCCCTAATTGCTTCCATTTTATTTCATTTAACGCTTTGTTGTTTTTTAAGTCCATAAGACATTTTTAGTTGCAGTGCCAACTACAACTAAGGCTTTTTCTGCGGGCCCGGGCTCCGGGCCTTACGCCCGTGGACCTGGCTCCGCTCCGCCCTCTGGCGGCCGCCCGGGTCCCTGCACGAAAACGCGCGGGTATTTCCGGACACCGGGGCGTGGCGACTAAGAGGCTTATTTGCATACCCATAATGCATTGCGCATAACACAATTACCGACTTAAAAATGAGTAGATTCTCCTTTTTTCCATCGGTTACTTTTCCTCCCGAATGAGACCATTCTGTCAGAGCTGTCTGGGAGGAAGGCAGACATCACTGGCTTTCGTGCACACATAGTCACCATTACAGAACTAGGGGTGGCGGTTACCCGAGGAGCGTGCGCACCGGCCTCCGGGCATACTCTGGTTTCTCTTCAGATCGCATAAATCTTTCGCCTTTTACTAAAGATTTCCGTGGAGAGGAACAATTCTGAGTTTTTACCCAATTTTTTGAGGCCTTGCGCTGGCGAGGCTCCCAAGCTCCGTGAAAAGAAAGACTGACTTGGTTTCCTCGGCTTTTTCTGCTTGTTGCTTATCTCTGGTTTCTGCAAGCGCCGGCTCAGGTGTGCCCGCAGGTGAGCGCACCTGACACTCCCGGCGGGCTCCCCGGTGGCGGAGGCTCAGACACGTGCAAGAAGGGGCGTCCCGATAAACTGGCTGTGCGCGCGCAGCTTGTATTAGATTTAATTTTCCAAATTCATCTCGGGCATGTCTGCCAACAATTTTTTTTTTTTAAAGGTTTTCTTTTACTTAGGCATGTAAAGAGCCGGGGTACAGGCCAGAGGTGTGGGGGGTGAGAGGATTCCCCTGAGACGCAGTGGGGAGCAGACCCAGCGAGCAGGAGAGGCAGGAGAGGTCTGCTGCGCCGGTGTGGGTAGCTCCCTGGCAGGGCTGGCAATAGCTTGGTAGAGCTGAGACTTTTACCCCTGCGCCACCAGGGAGGCCCCCATTTCTTCTTTTTAAATTAAGGTTTATTTTATTTTTTTTTTTTAAGATTTATTTATTTGTGCATAGAAGAGCTGGGGTACAGGTCAGAGATGCGGGGAAGTGAGAGGACTCACCAGAGACAGAGCAGGGAGCAGAACAGGCAGATCTACTGAAATACACTGCTGAGGGGAGCAGCGGGGAGACAGGAGAGGTCTGCTGCGCCAAGTGGGTAGCTCCCTGGCCGCTGGGGATCGAACTCATCCTGCAGCTGCTGCAGACTGCTTCATAGTGCGGTGCTTAACCCCTGGCGCCACACCTTCAGCCTGGGAAATGTAGTCTTGCCTGTGAGGCACACGCACACACACACACACACACACACACCACCCATACCCACCCCCACCCCCAAATGGTGTAAGTTACTAGGGGAGAGACTAGAAACCGGGTAAGAGAACTAGCCGGCTGCCCCAGTGAAGGGGAGAAGGGACCTTTTGGGGAGTTCTGCCTTGGGCTCCTCTCTGGGCTTCCCAGCCTCCACGCTGTGGCCAGCTGTGCCTTCCTGGCCCAGCCTGTGGTGCAAGGAGCCCACCAAGGCCAGAATAATGGCTGTGCTGTAAGCCCCTCCCAGGCCTTCTTGATAGTCCAGGGTTGCCTGAGCCGGCTGCCCAGAGCCCAACTCTGCCTTGTTGGTCCCCAACACTAGCCTAGCCCTGATGGGGTAACGTTCCTCCGTCCCTCAGGCCAGCTGCTCTGTCAGGACAAGTGCTGGAGGCCAGAACCTCCTTTGGGCTTTGACGGCTGGAGAGGAGAGATTTTAAACTTGCTTGTTCTCCTCTGGCAAACTGGTGCCAACCAACGCCGTTCCAAACCCCCAGGGACGGTCCCCCAAACATTCCCTCTTCAGAGGCAGCGGATCCTCAGGGAAATGGCTGGTCCCGGGCGCAAGTCAGGAAATACACCACCTTCAAGAGGCTCCCGGGAGCCCAAGGTGCGTTCCTGGGACCGAGACTAAAATTCAAAAAGGCTCAAAGCATTTCAAATATGTTTACCTCCAGGAGTCTGTAAATATAGCCAAACAAAACGAAATGACCTAACTGGCCACTGTGATGGTTCACTTTTCCCTGGCAGCTCTGCTGGGCTCAGGGATGTCCAGGCAGCTGGCAAAGCGCTATTTCTGGGTGGGTCTGTGAGGATGTTTCCCTTGGTCTGACCCAGGTCATTCTTTGCACCTCCCCAGCCCCTGGTACTACGTCCTGGATTTGCTTCAAAATAATGTTCGTGGTCCAAGAAGGGACGAATATTCAAGATGTATTAAAAAGTTTAATCAGATCCTCCCCCGTGGCGCAAGGGGATAAGACACAGCACGATGAAGCAATCCGCAGCCTCTGCAGCACAAGTTCGATCCCAGGCCGGCCAGGGAGCTACCCCCATGGCACAGCAGACCTCTCCTGTCTCGCCCGCTGCTCCCCTCAGCAGTGGATTTCAGTTAATCTGCCTGTTCTGCTCCCCACTCTGTCTCTGGTGAATCCTCTCACCCCCTCGCACCTCTGGCCTACACCCCAGTTCTTGTATGCATAAATAAAACTAATCTTAAAAAAAAAACAAAACTAAAAATGGAAATATATGACCCAGCAACCCCGCCGTGGGCATCTACCTGAGAACTTGAAACCATTCACTTAAAAAATTATATGGTCCGCAGTGTTCGTTGCAGACCTACCTACTCGCAATAGCTGGGACGGGGCAGCAACCTAAGTGCTGATGGAGGTCTGGGTGCACAGGGTGCGAGCTGGTCACTATGTCAACACTCTCCAGCTGTAAGGAAAGGAATCGATACCCGCTCCAGCGACATGGAAAGAACTCGAGGGAATGGTGTGGAGTGAAGTCAATCAGCAGGACAAAGACAAACATTGGATGTTTCCATAAATGTGAGTAAAATAAGGGATGCCGTGGAATTGACAAGCAAAATATTTACCAAAACTGTCAGACTTTAAGAAACAGGTGAGGTTTCTGAGATTAAGGGGTGGGAAGGAGAAAGGATCCGGTGGGTGTAAGGGGTGACGGGGAAAGGGAGCAGAAAATCAACCTGGCTGAGGTGTAACTTGTGTAACACGCGCAGCATGTATTTAAAGGGGAAAACAATTTGAGGGGAAAACAATACAGTAATAAAGTAGAATTTGGTTTGTGAAAATAATTATGTGAGTGGGGCAGGATGGGTGGTCGTTGGGACAGGGTGGGACGGGGAAGCTCCTTTTTTCTATATTCATCACGATCCATCACTTTTAAGTTTTAAATACATATTCAAAACAATGTGTCCTTGGTAACGCTCTGCGTATTTATGGAGAGATTAAATGTTGGGATCCAGTGGCTGGTCTGACAAGCACCACAAGGACAAGGTCATCCAAAGCATGAACAAGATTCCCACCACGGGGACCGGCCCTGGACACGTCTGTGGTTTGTATTTGAGACAATGACGTGAAGTTCAAACTTCAAGGACATGCTGGATTGCAGTTAGAAGTTAATGAAAATAAAGGTGTTTTTCCATTCCAAGTTCACATACCCCCTTGTATTCCATCCCTGGGCCCCTGGTTTAGAAGCCCCCATGTGTGTTCCCAGAATACAATACAGCTGCCCCCTGGGAGGGTAGAAAGTTCTGGACTCATAAAGCCACAATCACAAAGCGGGACATCCTCCGCAGCTTATGAAGTTGGAAGGTGTTATTAGACCCATTTTACAGGTGGGAACCTTGAGAGTCAACGTTTCACTCACTCATTTGAGGTTTGTGTGATGATGGTGATTGAGCCAGACGCAAACCTGGGGGCCCAGTGCCTGGCCCAGAGCTCTCTCTTAGATCCAGCTCCCAGCCCCAGAGGTGCTGAGAAAAGCTACCTTTTCTCAGAGTTTGATTATGAGAGACGTCACGGCCTTTCTCAGAAGCTCCCCTGTCCTCTGTTCTGTCCTCTCCCACGACACCCACAGAGCCTCGCCGGGAGCTGTCTGTTCCAGGGCCCTCCTGTCAGATCACAGGGCTGAAGCCAGAGGGGAAGGACCAAGCCCTTAGGAGGTGCCCATCAAGGAAACCTCTCATCCTGTCACCCGAACATCAACCGAACCTGGCCTGCTGGAAGTTTTACAATGAATAGTCACTGAACCAATGGGGTACCAGAAGCTTCCACCAGCCAAAGTCCAGAGGAGAGGTTTCTGGGAGCGAGGAGTGTCAGACAACAGATAACTTATCCAGGGCCAGGCCTTTTGCCCCGCCCTCCGGCCTCTTTTGTGCAGGGTGAGTGCTCACAGCAGTGGGGTAACCTCCAATTGCCAGACTCCTAATCAGACCCCTAGACAGACGTGCGGCTCTCAGACCCCAAAGGGCACAGGTTGTCTTGTTCTTAAGGTTTTTTAAGTCAGACATCCTTTTGAGAAACTGAGGAAAGCTACAAAATCTTGCCTTGTGGGGAAAAAAATGTACAAAAAATATATACAAATATTTTGCAATTGCTGGGGCTAACCAATCCCTCAAACAAGGTTACATATTGGGGCAAGAAAAGCTCTCCGGTCTCTTCATCTAAGACATGATCTCTGTGTTGTTGGCCTGTTTCACCCTAAAAAATTCCACTCCTCGAGAAAGAACAAGGCTGTCTCAGTCCATTCAGACTGCAGAAAACCACAGCCCAGAGAGCTGAGAAGCAGCAGACATTTACTTCTCACCGTCCTGGAATTTGGAAGCCCAAAGTCAGGACACCAGCATGGTGGAGTTCTTATAAGAACTCTCTTCTGGGGCCTCCCTTGTGGCACAGGGGTTAAAGTCTCAGCACTATAAGCTGTCATTAGCCACTGGCAGCTTGAGTTCCATTCCCAGCCAGGGAGCTGACCCACTTGGTGCAGCAGACCTCTCCTGTCTCGCCCGCTGCTCCCATCAGCGGTGTATTTCAGTCAGTCTGCCTGTTCTGCTCCCCACTCTGTCTCTGGGAATCCTCTCACCCCACCCCCACCCTCTGCACCTCTGGCCTACACCCAGTTTGTTCCTGTATGTATTAATTAATTAATTAATCACTTTTAAAAAAAGAACTCTTTTGGGTTTCTTCTCGCTGTGTCCTCACATGATGAAAAGACAGAGTTTGGGGGGGTCTCTTTTATGAAGGCGCTAGTCCCATCACGAAGGCCCCATCTTGTGACCTACTCACTTCCCAAAATTTCCACCTTCAAATAACCTCACCGTGGGGTTAGGATTTCAACAAATGGGCTTGGGGAAGGGGGAGGCGAACAAGGCCGAAGCCCGCTGCCTCCTGCTGAGTCCTCCCGAGGAGCCACAGGCCTGGGGTCGCTGTCCTAACATGCAGCCAGAGCTTGTGAGCAGGGAGATTATTTAGGGAGAGATCCCAGGTGGCAGGGATGGGAGGCTGGGGAGGGTAAGATGAAGGAGAGAAAACCAAGCCCGGGTGCCTGGTCTACTTTTCACCATGGGGCCAGCGGGCTGCGCAGGCGAACTCTAGAACTCTAGAATGGGTCTCAGAACTGCCACCCAAGGGAGCAGAGGGGAGCACCAGTCTGCTGGGTCGTCTCCCATGGGTGAGGCCCCTCCCTGCCGGAGAAGCAGCCCGTGCTTCGGGGCTATGTCCTACACCTGTGCTAAGTGCCTGGCCGCTTCAGGAAGGCGAGAGAAGCCGCGGTTAGAGCCGTGGCGGCGGGAACGGGTGGACTCGGAAGACGTGTGGCTGCTGGGCCTGCAGGGAGAAAGGCCCTTCCGGACCAGCTTTTCAGCTCAGGGGACGTGCTGGGGGTATGCAACCAAATTTCCTGTTCCATTTTCTGCCCCTTCAGAAAATTGGGGTTTTAGATCTGTGGGGCAGCCGCTCGCCTCTGTCCTGCCCCCCTCCTCTGCGTCTGCAGCTTCCTTGCTCCAGCGGCCTTGAGGCTCAGCTCAGGGTAGTCACTACTGCTTGCATAGGCTGTGGCTTCTACAAATAAACCTCATCGGTGAATACAGCCTCAAAAAGTAAGCTCACTTTTTGCTTTTGTGCTCTAGAGCCGGAGAGCAATTAACCATCCGGGCTTGGTTACACCATAGAGGACGTGGGTGAAGCAGGAGTGTGAAGACCGAAGGAAGGCTGGGCCCCAGGTAAGCCAAGTCTGCAGTCTGGCCTGGCGTTGGCAGCTGCGTGGCCTTAGGTGAGTTTTGCACCGTCCCGGGTCGTTACAGCATCTCTCAAGCTGGGATTGGAACCCGTTACCACAAGGGGCCATGTTGATGTGAAATCCCTAACACATGGCGAGCACTTAAATGAGAGCTGTCACTCACCACTAGAGGTCTATTGCAGTGCTAGCCTTGCTAGCAAATCCTCAGGCCCAGGGAGTGCACACTCAGGAGCACTCCCATTTCAGGAGCCCACAACCTGGGCCCTTGCCAGGTGAAGCTGGGGGTGGGGGGTGTCCTCTTTTTTTTTTTTAAAGGATGTGGCTGCAACATCCAACAACCTCATCTTTTTTCTTTTTTAAAGATTTACTTATGCACAGAAGAACTGGGGTACAGGCCAGAGGTGTGGGGGGTGAGAGGATTCACCAGAAACAGTGGGGAACAGAACAGGCAGATTGACTGAAATACACTGCTGAGGGGAGCAGCAGGCGAGACAGGAAGGGTCTGTGCCATGTGGGTATCTCCCTGGCCAGGGATCGAACTTGTGCTGCAGTGGCTGCAGACAGCTTCATAGGTTGCTTCTTAACCCCTTGCGCCACCAGGGAGGCCCAAGTGTGTTTCCTCTTGTCAAGTAGTTTCCAGGTTGATGTAGCAGGTGGGGGGCAGGTCACATGACAACCCACACCCAACCCAAACCCTGGGGTTCGTGCATAGGAAAGGGTGAGGCAGCCCATGGCCCACAGCCCATGGCTGGGCGGTCCTGAGTTCTGCATGACCAGAGCAGGGGTGGAGGGTTCTGGGAACTGAAGCACCAGCCTGGACAGCTTGTCTCAGAGCCCCAGTTGAGGGGCAGTTAGCCCCTCCACAGCCAGCCGAGCTTCCTGGTGTCTGGCAGCTTAATGCTTGTCTGGAAGTCCAGGGAACCCCCCACCAACACCGAGGATGGATGGCCTCCGAGTCCACCGAGTGGACTGCAGGTCCAGCTCAGTCTTCTTTGGTCCCTGGGATGCTTCCCTTCTTCCCGTGAGGGGCGAGCTCAGATCTTAGCTCAGGTGAGCAGTAGGCCCACTTGGGGTCTTCCCTGTTACCCAGTCCTACAGCCAACAAAACCCAGGGCACTGGGGGAGCAGGCGCTGTTGCAGCATCCCCCCAACACCCAGGAGCAGGAAGACGAGCACCTGCACCTCTTCTGCATGGACCCCTAGGACAGGGGATATAGCTGCCATCCCTCTGGCAGGACGAGGTTGTGTGGCCTCCCACTTCATGCCCCAAAGTCTGGAGACGGAGGAAAAGATGGTGTCTCCAGAGGGTTCAACCACACACAGACCAGTCATGGAATTTTGAAAGAAATTTATTTAAAAACAGAACAAAAAAAAAGCTTTGGTATTTCAAAACCCAACAATAGTCCATCACTAGAAAGTTAACCACCTCCCCAACGCCCAGAAGTACAAAACCATAGATCTCCACAGGCTCATGATAAGAAAGAGACGAGGCGCAGCCCCAAGGCCCCTGGAGACCCGCCTCCTCCACGCAGGAGGTGCTGGGGCCTCCAAACACCACCAGGGGATTCGCTTCGCGTGGATACAGGAGCCTTCCGGCAAGATCCCAACCAAAATAAATTAAAAATCAAGAAAAGAAAGAACACATACAATCAGGGCAAGAATACAGTGTCTCCTAGACAAGAGTCTTTTCAAAAGAGGGTCTAATGCCTGGGGCAGAAGAAAGGGGAAGTGGAAGGAGCGAGTTCAATTTCAAGTATTTTCCATATGGGTTCACTTTATTGAGTGGAAAGCGCTTAACAAAACGTCCGCCGGCCCCTCCGCCCCCGCTTCCCATCTGAAAACTCCTGAACATCAACAGGTACTTCTGCGTTACTGGTGTCCCCCAACAAGGCACAAAAGGGTGGGTGCTGTCAAAGGCCCCCTGGTTCGCAGCAGCAGGACTTTCAGTGCTGGGCGTCTTGTGCAAACAGTGGCTGAAAGCAGGATGGTCCTTCGCTCAGACGCTGGGGTCTTCCTGCGCAAGGAACACAACAGGGGTTACTGCGCGCTGCCGGGCGGGGCGGACATTACAGGAAGCCGGCGACAGACCCCGGGCATCCCCCACCCCAGGCCCTGATCTGGCCCTGCCGGCGGCCCCCGGCCCAGGAACCTGCTAGAACTGCTACGGATTTGGTGCCCTGGGCAGCTCCTCAGGCCCTGCAGGGGCGCCACGGGCTCTGCGTCGTGGGGCCCAGCTCCAGCAAGGGTAAACTGAGGCACGTGGGTAGCATGCCATGAGGGTGGCTTGGTGTCTCCCCCGATCATGGCAGAACCCCAGGGTCGATGAGGAGACCGAGATTCAGAGCAGAGAAGCCCATGGACCCACAAGGCGGAGAAGCTGCCCCAGCAGCGAGCCATGGCGGGGTGACAGAAGGGCCGCCCACGCGACTCTGATCTGCCTTTCCATTTGGTCTTCAGGCTTGAGGAGCTCACACAGCTGCCCACCCTGCTCCTTCAGGCTGATTTCCTTCTTGGGGTTGGGCCCCGCCCACCGGCTGCTGCGCCATTACTTTCAGAGGGAGGCACGGGGTGTGGGGACTTGCCCTGGCAGCCAGGCGACCCCTCTACTCCCAGCCGGGCTTCCACAGCTTTCCCTGCCCGTCTAGTCTCCTCAGAAGTCACTTTTCAACGTCCTCTCACAAGGGCCTCGCTCCTCTCTGCGGAGGGCCGAGGGCACCGGCCGGGAAGGACACCCCACTCCTGCCTCGGCCTCACCCCGCCCTGGGCCCAGGACAGCGCGCCCGGCTGCGGGGGCTGGGGCCGGGGGGCGCGGGCCCCTACCTTGCTCCTGAAGAAGGGCCTGGCCCCGGGCCCGCAGTACTCGTTGTAGATCAGCTTGAAGAGGAAGAGGTGGAAGAGGGTGATGAGCGAGGCCACGCTGAACCAGAAGAGGAAGGGCAGCCCCGGGTCCTGCTGGGCCATGTGCTCGTCATGGGCCAGGATGGCCTTGAGGTGCAGCGTGTGCCGCAGGTCCTGCAGGTGCGTGAGGTCGGTGGAGATGTAGAGCAGCGGCGTGATGGGCTGCGTCACCATGACCGCGAAGGTGTGGCCCTGGGGCGCCGAGGTCAGCTCCACGGGCTCGTCCAGGCAGCCGGCCTCGCAGGCGTAGATCTTGGTGGGCTGCCCGCGTGACTCCACAGACACGTGCAGGTACGGCTTGCCCTCGGCGTCGGCCAGCACGGCCAGGTTGATGTGGTCGTTCTTGTAGCGGATGCCGTGCAGCGCGTAGCTGTTGTGCAGCACGTCGGGGTCGGCCTGGAACTGCAGGTGGTTCTCGGTGAACTGCAGCCCCCCGAAGCTGAGCACCATGCCCTGCAGGATGCCTGGTGCGCCCACCCTCACCAGCCCCTTGCAGCCGCGCTTCTGCAGGGTCAGCCGCCACAGGTCGGAGAGCTGCAGGATCTGCTGCACAGAGGCCAGCCGGCCCGGCCACAGGTTCTCGGCGTGCATGGTGGCGTGGCCGCTGAAGCAGTGATCTTCATAGTTGAGCGTCGACTCCATCTGGTCTCGCTCCCTGTGGCTCAGGTTGGGGCTGAGCAGCGGGGCTGGCGAGCAGGAAAGCATGTAGTACAGCGTCAGGTTCACGGTCAGGCCGGACGGGGTGTGCGCATCCGTGATCTTCTTCATTTCCACTCCTGTAACACCACAGAGATGGCACGTTAAGGAGGAAGGGCAGGCCGGGGGCCGAGGTTATGAGGCAGCGAGCCCAAGCAGCAGAGACACGCATTGTGCCTGGGAGTGGAAACAGCAGCTCCAGGCTCCTCAAGCAGGAGAGACTCCTGCCGCTTCCTCATATGACCAACCTGAGCCCTGCAGACTGAGACCTAAGATCCTGTGAAGGGGAGAGAGGCCTCCTTCCAGGGCCAGAACAACACAGATGTGGGCAGGACGTGGCCCGACCCTGTGACACCAAGTCCAGTGCCCGCACACAGGGACACCGGGCACTGCCCTGGCCAGCCTTGGGGTGCTTCTCTCCAGCACCTCTCACTCCCACCCTGTAGCTTTAAAGAACAGCTGAACACAGGATCTCCCAAGCCTCATGAAATTTGCATCTGTAGCCCCAGAGAGCTAAGCACCCGCCTGTGTCTCCACAGGGCTGTCTGATGGGCATTTTGAACCCGATATGGTTTGAATTCTTCCAGTCCCAAGCCTTCCCTCCCCAAGCTGCCTAAGACACCTGCGGAGCCCTCTCCCAAAACTGAGAGTCCCCTGCAGGTTCTCACTCCTCACAACCAGTCCATGGAGAGTCCTGGGGGCTCCGTCTCTGAAAGCCTCAGAATGCACCTGCTCCTCTCTGTGGTCACAACCCTGCACAGCCACACGGCCCTGCCCCCACCAACCTGGGCTCCTACAAAACACTCGTACCTGTCTCCACTGTGTCCCCCTCCCTGCTATCCTCTGTACACAGCAGCCAGAGGGGTCTTTAAAAATGGGGATCAGGGCCTGCCTGGTGGTGCAAAGGGTTACGTCTCAGCACTATGAAGCTTTCAGCAGCCACTGCAGCGTGAGTTCCATCCCCAGCCAGGGAGCTACCCACATGGAGCAGCAGACCCCTCCTGTCTCCCCGCTGCTCCCCTCAGCAGTGGATTTCAGTTCAGTAGATCTGCCTGTTCTGCTTCCCACCCTGTCTCTGGTGATTTCTCTCACCCCCCTCCACCTCTGGCCTACACCCCAGTTCTTGTATGCATACGTAAATAAAAATAAATCTTTAAAAATAAAAATAAAAATGGGGATCAGCGAGTGCTCCGCCCTGCCCTCGGTGCAGTCCTCACCTCAGTCTCTGAGGGCCTTTAGGATCTGGCTCCCACTGCCCTCCACTCTGTGACCCTGCTAATCTCCACCCTCCCCTTGTCCATTATGTGCCAGCCACTGGCCACTCACCTAACCTGCTCCTGCCTCAGGGCCCCTCCCTTGCCAGCTTCTTGCTATGCAGGCCTCACCTTAAGTGCTTCCTCCTCACAGGCCTCCCTGGCAATTGGAGCCCAGTGGAGCCCAGAGCCTCCGCCCT